TTGGGTGGGTAACAAAAGTATCTATAGCTCGTGATGTATGTCGTGGTCTTGCCTTTCTTGAAACTGTAGAGATCTTACATCATGATATTCGTGGTGAAAATATTATGGTACGAATTGTGTACATTTTAAAGCTTTCATAATGTGTATAAGCATATTTAATTTAATTAATTTAAATTTAATCAATTCATAAATTAATTTATAAAAATATCTAGATGATTGCGGGTTATAGTCCTAAGATTGCAAATTTTGATGTAGCGCGAAAACAAAATGAAACAACTAATGAAATTCCTGATCTTAATAAAGTTGTACGTTGGATGGCCTCTAAAAAATAAACGGTGGTCCTTATACTACACGATGTGAAATTTTCAGGTAATTTTTTATATTTAAAAAAATTGCAAATAAAATATATTTCATTATGCCAATACAGACAGTAAGTACTTGTATAAATAAATTTATTTTTATATTTTATGTTAAAAAGCTTTGGAATGTTACTTTGGGAACTCACTTATGAAAAGGAACCATATCATGGCATTGATACCTTTGAAGATATTAAAAAACTTGTTACAAATGGTTACAGAGAAAAAATTTCTTTTGCCCCTACACAGGATTAAAAAATAAAGGAAATTCAACAAAAATTTGAAGATATTATGAAATCAAGTATGTCTATATTTTTAACTGTACATTTTTAAAGCACTTTTCTGTATACTCATTATTATTTCTTTATTTTCATAGCTTGGCATGATAATCCTAGACATCGAATTGGTGTTGGTGAATTATATGTGCATCTAGAAAACTTGGCTGAAAAATATGTTAAACCTGGTGACTTACCTAAAATATGTAATAATAACGAAATAGATTTCGATTGATCTAAATTTTATGACAATGATGAAATTAACATGGATTTCATCAATCAGACAATGTCTGCACTTAAATTTAACCTTTGTGATGTTGAAATAAAAGTGCCCACTCCTTTTAACGAAGGACTAAAAATTCATCAATCAATAAATAAAGAGGGTCCTCAGGAAGAAAAAATGAAAATGAGAAAACAAGCTTGGGAATGTTTTGTGGAGAATGCAAAGCTAGGAAATTCTGATGCAAAATATTGGAAAGGATATTATTTATGGGAAGGTTATTATGTCGATAAAAACAAAGAAGAAGCAATAAAGCTTTTTAAAGAAGCTGCTGATAATAATGTTTCTAGTGCTTAGCTACGTTATGCTTTTGCACTTTTAGAATCAAATACCTCTGCAACAAGACAAACTCAAGAAGAGTTTATTAAATATCTTGCATTAGCTGCTAATAATCGTAACCATTATGCATTATTTCACCTAGGTGATATGTATTTAAATGGAAATGCAAAGTTTCATGTTGAACCTGATCGTGAACTTGCTATTAGAAAGTTGAAATTGGCCACTTCTCTTGGAAATCCCAATGCAAAAGCATTGTTAAAAAAAGTGGGTGAACTAGCTGAATAATAATAATAATAATAATAATATAGGTTATCTTTTTCAAAAATAACTTGTATTTTATTGGTTACAAAGTTATGTATTATTACATTATATCAATAGGTTAATAATTAATGTGTTTGTACATTTATATTTATATTTTATATATTAATAAGTATATAAATAAAATCTAAGACACAGTTTTATTTAAATTTTAATTAAAAAATTGTGGTTAACTGTTTTATATTCATATTAGATGATATATGTCCTTTTCTATTTTTTCTGGACTGTTTTGTGGACTGCGCATTTCCAGTATACTTCAGAGTTTCGATTCACATTACATATATATATTTTAGCCGATTAAAAGATAACGATAAAAATTTCTATAAAAATTTCTTTTAATGTTAACGTTTAACATTAGTTACCTAATTTTTATAATGTTGTGTAACAGTTTATCGGGATCTCACGATGCTCCAAATGAAAGCTAACATTCTTACTATTAGATTAAATACACGTCATAGTATTTCAGCATCAATGGATGCTGAAATAAATCACATGATTAGTCAGTTAAGTATCAATATTAAAAAGCCTTATGCTTTTTATTTTAATCTACTAAAGCTATAAAAATATTCTTTTAATCATGCCATTCAAAAGGACATACTTTATTTTTCAAACATTAGAAGATGGTGAGATGGTAATGAAAAATCCTTTATCTCCTAATGCTCAAAAAATGAGTATGCCCTTTTGAATGTCATTATTAAAAAGTATATTTAAATAAAAAGGCATAACGATGAGGCTTTTTAATATCGATACTTAACTGACTAATCATGTAACATATTTCAGCATCCATTGATGCTGAAATATTATGACGTATATTTAATCTGGCAGTAATATATAAATCGGTTTTATTTTTACTATAAAAAGAATTTAAATATTCTAATTTAAGAAATTATAACTAAATATTTTTTTTATATTCTTCATTAGTGACACGTATCATTGAAAAGATAGATAATACATACAGTATACACATTGCATAAATAATTTTTTTTATTATAACAAATAATAAGTATATTGTATTGTATAAATTATTTTTAAAGTCAAAAATATAACTTTTTGTGTGCAACTTTAAAATGTATAAAATGCAATATAAATCTAATAAAAATTTTTGAAATCGATCTTTCATGATTTTTAAATTATGAAATTGCTAGACATCTTATTATGATAAAATTAAACCATGTGCTATTCTATTTTATTTTGGCGCAAATTCACTTATATTAATAATATAGGGAAGGAAGAAAATTTCATAAATAATTTATTACTAAGAGAACTTAACGCACGCGGAAATTTCGACATATCAACAAATATTTCATTATTTATATACATACATACCTGTTTTTAAATATGGTATATTCTTTCTCTGTAATGAACTTCGGACTTCCTGGCGTGTCATTAACCAAGAATCTTCTGATATTATAGTAAAATATATAATCCTGTTTGGTATCTTGTCTTTTTTTCATAGAACTTATCATTGTTTTACTTTATATATATGTGTTTGTTTTCACATATATGATTCTTCATGTTTCATTAAAGCAGATCCTGAGGTTTTTGGTTTGATATTTTATATTCTTTGGATTTTTCTTATTTTTATAAGATTGTTTCTGGTTTTTATGTTTTCTATCTTATCTAGATTTGTATATTTATATAGTACAGTCAACCCTGGCTATAATCACACTCTTGGGCCAAAAAAAAAGTGATTATAACAAGGTTGTGCTTATAAAAAGGTTAAATTAATATATTTTTAATAAATTGGGACTTAATAAAAATATAATTTTTATAAATTGTGCTTATAGCCAGGGTGACTATAGCAAGGGCTGACTGTATATTTCATTGCATTTTCATGTTTTTTGGTTACAAATGTATTTTCGTTTCATTTGTCTTCTCTTTACTTCTTTTGTATATTACCAGTGATCTAGCTACTTAATGTTTGTAGCCTTAATCAACTTGGCTTTGAGGGTGGGAAGTTTATTTTATTTTTATGATGGGCATGAACGTTTTAGATATATAACACTTACTCGTTCAACAGGCGGTAAGAACTTATTATCGGTTTAGATTAAGAGATTGGAATCGTTTAGTCAATTAAGAAATCTGTAAAATTACTTATGCTTAGTCATAATAGCCGACTAAACCGATTTCAATCCCTATTTGAATTTAGTAAATTCTTAATACTTCAAAAATTTTTTGGCAATTAATTTTTTTGTGATGTGTTATTATTGTTTTTTTTAACATTTTGAAACCTTTAATGATTACATCTGTAGCTTGTGCTATCTAGTGAGTCTTTAAAACTTTAGAGTTACTAGTTGTAAATATCTAACTTTATTATGCAACTTATTTACATAATCTTTCAATTTACAAGAAGTAAGATATCCATTGTAGCTATTATAACTATCGGTATCTATTGGTATGAGAACTAAAAAATTATTTATGCGAAGTTGAAGGTGTTTCACTGATGACCTTCCTTAGATATTCTAGTGGCGTTTCAAAATGTTCGGATTCTTCTACATTTATTTGATCTGCAATCATTTGAATTTTTTCTATCACATTCAAGTTCATTTGAAAAATGTCTTATAAATTTAATCAGATCAATAAAACAGATTGATAGAAATCATATTTATTATTACTAATACCTACCTCGATCTGTAAAAAAACCTCTAATGCGCTTGCCATATCATGATTCATGTTAGAGATTGGAATTGAAATAGGATAAGGATTTAGATATGTAATGAAATGAATCTTGATTTCTTCATATATTTGGTATATCATAAAATAAAGCTTTCCATCTAAAATTAATAATAATATTATAATACATTCAACTAAAACAAATTTACTGAGTTACATACCAGATGAAAATAGCCCAATCCATCGCAACTCACAAAACAATTTCTTTAATTCTTTAGTAACCTTTTTACATTTTTTGACCCAGTATAAAATAAAGCTATTTGCAGCATCATTAAGCATTCTACATAGTTTATTGTAATCACCACCATGAGGTTTGTTTAGGCGTTTTGCTTTACATATTAGGAGGTATAATTTTATACCCGTTTCTGGAGAATATGTTATAGCTGTGTCAACTTTTCTGCTATACACACGAAAAAGTGTGATTCTTTGTTTACTGGTCGTGTCAAGAGATAATAATTCGCGTTTATCATTTGAAATATAGATAGGCTCGTCCCCATTATTCTGAATAATAACTACTGTTTCTTGAACAGAATCGTTAGCATCAAAATGTTCATCTTCGGGCGTTTCAAATAAATTTACTGCTTCCTTCAAATTCTTTGGCCATTCTGTAAAAGGAGGATGATAATACAGTTTCTTTCGTTCATAAGAACATTGAGTCAGATGTTCTGGACTAATATTTTAGATCTATATATAAAATTTATATGTTATTATATTCAACAATATTTTAAAAAACTTTTAATTACCCATGTAAATGAAATTTGCCAAATAAAAACTTATTCAGAACAATTTCCAAAGAGATGAATATATAATTTAAAACTAAATCAGACTCCAACTTATTATCAAATGGATTAATCCATTGTCTTATCCTAAAAAATTAAGTTTGAATAAATAAAGTCTTAAAT